CAGAGGAAAATTAAACCCAGCTTGTTCAAGTTTACAATAACTCATACAGGAAAGTAAAAAATGTTCTCCCTATAAGTGAGACCACTGAGATCAGGTGGTCGGTGGTATTTTTACCCCCCCTTATCCTCAGAAAATGTCTACCACATTTTTAAGGCTTGAGGACTTGATCTTCTAATCATGGTTCAAAGTGCTGTCAGACTGTTTGGAAACCATAAAAGGAGGATCATAGAAAGGCTTGGGTTGAAACAGATCTTGAAAATTATCTAGTTCTGCCATGGGCAGGTGGTCTAATGCCACCCATTAGACCAGGTTGCTCAGGGCCCCATGCAACCTGACCTTAAACACTTCCAGGAATGAGGCATTTACAACTTCTCTGGGCAACCTGTCCCAGTGCCTCATCACCCTCCAAGTAAAGAATTTCTTCCTGACATGTTATCTAGAGCTCTCATATTTCAGTTTAAAACCATTCCCACTTAAACTTTTTAAAATAGAAATACTTTACAGTGATGTATTGACCTTGCTCAGGTTATACCATTGATGTGACCCTGTACACAGCAGTGATAGGTGAAGACCATTCTTAATGGCTGAGCAATCGGGGATTTTTGTCACAATGAGTCTAACTGCTAATTCAGGGTTGGTTAATTCCTGGAGCAGATAGGTGACTGTCATAATATATCTTAAAGCAGTCCAGTCACCTCAAACCTCCAATTCAGGGACAGATTTAATTTCTCATGCCATAACCAGTGTTCTGGCTACAACCCAGTTATACTAAATGGCTCCAGAAGCGTATCCAGAGGCAATTTCACTTGCTAATCGCCAAAAAGTAGGCTAACACAGTGTTTTCTTCAACACATTTCTTCTGTTCGCACAGCCTTTGCTGAACATTGCCAGGACAGAGCCTAAGGCCGCACACATATAGGGATTATGATTAACCACAACTTCTAGTCGTTCTTGTATCATGGATTGACGGATACCTTGAAGAAGTGTGCCCAGAAGGCTGAGCTACAAATCAGTCCCAATTGCAGGAAAGGGATCATGCCACTGTATTCCATCTCTTCTGATGGCCTACAAAGAAAGCAAATTTCCCTTCAAGGGAAGACTACTACCCTCTTATTTTAGAATTATTAACAAATACCTCAGAACTATCTTCTCTGATAAATCTCAAGAGTTTGTCCTGTTGCCCCAAGTTGATTTAACTGTTTAAAAGAAAAATCTCTTAAGACAGTTTTGTGGAAAAGGATGAAGGAACTAGATAGGAGGACATCAAATAGACAGTCACATATGTAATGGTGCTGACTATCTACTGTGTTGGGACTTTGGGGGCCTGGGTCTGCATTAGATTCTTGACTCTCAAGGTTGGTCATAAGCGCCATGACACTCACCTCTTTTAACCAAAGGCAGCCGAGACAAAAGGCATCTAGTGGTGTACCACCAGTCAATGAAAACATCATTTTTTACTTTGGCAGCTTACAAGAACTGCATGAGAAAAATCCACAAAACTGCAGAATTATGGCCAGAACACTCCTCTGTTTTCTTTGGGGTGTTAAGACTATTCTTATGTTACCATAGAGTCATCAAGCCTTAAACTCTGTTCTCTGTATTAGCCTTCAGCAGATCCAACCTCTTAATTGGTGAGAGCCTCCTAGAAGTCTACACCACTTACTTGTGTAAAGTAAGTGTAAAAAATTGTAAAAAAAGTGTAAAAAATTTGCCACAGCAGACTGTGGCAAAGCCACTGCAGCTTTTAGTGAATGGGAAATTATGCTGTCAGCGACAATATGTCTTGAAAGTGACAGAAGGCAAAGTGTCACATTTGAAGACAGGCTGAACAATTTTCACACTTAAGATCCCTGAAAGTCAAGGCCATGTATGAAGCCGTACAGATGTCTCACCATTTACCCACATCTTGGAAATTAAGTATATGAGCATCAAGCACTGTTCCAGGTGATTCTCCTGTCAAGATTCTCTCAAGTAATAAAGTCCATTGCATAGTATTATTGTAAGTTTAGTTTTTCACTACGTCAGGTATGTTTGAGATAATCAATCTAAAGAAACAGGACTTCCAACAGCCAAGTTTATCTCATTCTAACATATACATCTAAAATACATCAAATGAATTGATATCGTTGCTTGTGCATAACAACATGAGTAAAAGCAAAGGAGTATTGCAGTGGATAGGTTTTGGGACTATTATCAAAAGCACCTCTGTTCTTTGAAGCCTCAATCTTCACTTAAATTTTTAAAAAAAATTTTCAAAAAAACTATAATTTCTTTTTCCTTCTTCCTGTTTCTAACTAGTGCCTCAGGGGTTCATCTGCATAAAGCTCAGAAATACACAGTGCAAAAACATAAGAAAAACCATACTAAGCAATTTAACATCTCCAGCAACAGATAACGTGTGCTGAAGGCCTTAAGAGGATACACAGACAGCAATAGCTCCTCAGAATGCTCTCCTAGCACTGCACAGTCTGCCCCTCAACATCCTGAAATGTGGAAGATACCTTTGCAAGCAACAATGCTTAGAATATGTTGAGTTGCAAAGGACTCATCAGAATCTTCAAGTCCACTTCCTGACCCTGCCCAGAACACCCCAAGAATCCCACCCTGTGCCTGAGGGTCCAAATGCTTCTTCAACCCAGACAGGTTTGGTGCCGCTCCTCCACTTCATTGTCTTTTAATTCTATGTCAGCATCTGGAACACCACACTTAAGGGAGCACAAAAATAAAAGATTCTACAAATGTACATAGTTTTTGATATATCACCTGGGAGAGACCATGTCAGCACCTTTCACAAAAAGGTGAAAATATTGATTCCAGCTCCAGAAAGAAGCTAACGCACTCAGCACTGCCCTGCTCCACACTCCAGCTAGCAGAAGCTGGATAGCTGGATTTCAGTTCCTTCATCTAGCTATGCATGTACAAAATACTTGGCTTCCTTTTTTTATTTTCAAAGTTTTAAGCTTTGACAGTTTCGTATTTCATGGTAGTTCATTTTTAATTTGCAGCAATGGTATTTTATATAGGCTGAATTAAAAGACTTGTAATGTTCAGAAAAAGTACAATGTCTGGATACTAAATAAGATCTGACTGTTGAGCTTCATGTAAACTAACAGGAGCTTTGGGATTTGGCCTGACAATGAATTTGCAAGGCGCTTAGCAAAAAAACCCAAACAATATTAACCATGGAAACTGTAATAATAATAACTTGGACTGGAAAAGCAATGTAGCCTGGTAAGTTTAAAGTAAGATAGCATCAGAGTAGGAGCTAAGAAAGAGTCAAGGGAAAACACAGCTTCATTCTAGATCAATCTCAATCTACAATGCTTTACAATAACTCTTTCCATTAATTCACATCTAGGACACAGTAAAGTAAAACACTGTCTATCTGGATCAAAACAAAGGCTTCTCCAGTCAATTACAGAGCTAAAATTATGGCAACAGCAGATGTCTACAGAAAAATATAACAACAGGGCAGTCATAAAAACTTCTCCTGTGGTTTTCCCAGATTCCAGCCTCTTGAAGTACAAACAGGCTGACACATGCCATGGAATTTTACTCCATTAATTTTCTAATACATTTTCAGACATTTCAGGTTCTGTGGCAGTGTTCAACCTATGCCATTGTAACAGGAATAATGAGTTCTTTCTATCCTTTTTGAACCTGCTATCAGGTAGCTTTGATGCTCTGATTCACACACTGAAGAATAAAATAAATAAAAAACTAAATCCCTGTTAATCCCTTCTGCTCCATTCAGGACTGTACAGAGAACAGAACATGACATGCTTTTTCTTAATTGTGCCTTTTTCAGGTTGAAGTCCACATTGTCACACTTTAATTGGAAATTATCCAGTGCTCTTGATCACTCTTGACACTTCTGAATCTTTTGTACTATTATTAGATTCACATTGAAATGTGAGAACCAGAACTGTATACATCATTCAAGTTGCAGCATAATACAGATAGATTCATTAAAAATGGTGCAATTAAAATGCTTTTGGTTTGTTCCCTATTCTCTTCCTAGTAATTCGTAAATACTGTTTGTTTATTTGACTAGTCCTAAACAGTGAGTCCACGTTTTCCTTGATCTGTAATTCCAAGATCACTAGTAACAGCTAGTCCAGTCTGGCATGAAATGCATAATGCTTCTTTGTTTTCCTCTTCACTTGCCTATTACTTTCTCTGACTTTTACATACCACTTGACAAGTCAGTTCTTCAATGCTGCAAATTCCTTTGAACATCTTTGCAGCCATTTTTCTATCAATATAACTTAACATCAGTAACAAATACCTTGATTTTTACTCTTAACTTTGCTAATATACATCTGCTTCCCATTTTTAAAAAGTAACAATTTGAGACAGAAATAGTAAGCAAAAATAATAGACAATTTCATAATTTTATGTCCTGTAAACTCACAAATTTTAAGCGTGACAGCACCAAGCTGTTTGCTCAGTGTTATGAGGCTGTCTTTATACTGAAGATGCTAGATATTAGACTTATAGACTTCCTCTAAAAGAGGTAAGTAGCACTGAACCCATTAAGTGTATACAACTGTCCTAGTTTGCACACCAGCATTCTGAAATGAAGTGAAACTTATCCTTGAATACACCAGTAGGCTGGCACACATTCTTAGCCATGGCTATTCCAAATCTTTGATTAAGAAGTTAGTGGTGTTTATCTCAAACTCTACCAAGCAGAGTGTTGAGTGCACGAGAGCTCTTATCACAAATTGGGCAAGTGGAACAAGTACCTTCCTTTAGTTCTATATATAACCCCACTTCTTGGGGGGGAAAAAACCCCACCAAACATGCGCACCTGCAGAGAATACTATTGGTCTGAACAACTTCTTCAGTGCGCTACAAAACATGGCAGTACAGGTAAGACACTAATCAATTGACAGAAATGTTCTATCTTCTCATTTCTGCACAGAGTTACAGAGAAGCCACTGACATAATAAACACTTCCCGTGAGTTAAATCTCATATTGACAAACACGAACATACCTTTTCGCCAGGCAGACCTGCAACACCGTCTGGTCCTTTCACACCCATCTCACCCTACAAAACAAACCAATCAATCAGAAGCTATACAGACTTCTGAGGTTAACAACAACTACTCAGGTCACATCGGACTCAATAGAAAAGCATCTTCCACCTGTTTTTTTAAGGAATGCAATCACTGTGGAGGAGGATGCCTTATATGTAACACTAAAATTAACAAAATAAATGCATTTTAAACACCTATAATATCAATTAAGTCCTTCAGACAAATACTTGCATATCCACATTTCCATAAAAGCAAGTCCACCAAATTTAAAGGAATTCATTGCAACAGAAGACTGAAACCAAGAGGGTCTGTTTTCAGTTCTACACTGAGAAAGCTCAGCTTGTAATACAGATTTTTATAAAGTCATGTGCCCACTATATTTTTGAGAGACACTATTTAAATTCTTCTCTCCTTCCCTTTTATCCTCTCAGAGAAACCAAATCCCAAGCCATAAGCAATATATAAGAAAATTTCAGTTTTGAGAGACAAATGACTGACTGATCAGGAGAGTTATGGAAGATCCCACGAACTGTAAATTGGACCATAAGTCTTAAAAATTACACAAGAAACCATAAAATCCAGAAATTTTGCTAAGTAATCGAAAGTATAAGGTTTAAAAAATTTAAAATAAAAATCATTTGGATGCCAGAGGAATACAACCAAAGCACTGAAACCATACAGTCTTCATTTAAAAACAAAACAAAACATTAGGTGCGTCTACTTCTACCAAGAAAAGAACATTCTCCTGCAAGAATAACATCATAACTCTGTTTTGAAATGAAGTTATTAACTTTTCTGAAGTTGAGAAAGGAGCAGTGAGATTAGCCAGAAGTACACAAAAAGAGTTGTATCAGAATCATAAAGGTTAAAAAACTCCTCCAAGATCATCAACATTTGACTGAACACCACCATGTCAATGAAACCATAGCGCTGAGTGCCATGTCCAGTTGTTTCTTGAATGCCTCCAGGGAGAGTGACTTCACCACTTCCCCAGGCAACTTATTCCAAGGATTGAACACCTTTTCAATAAAGAAATTCTTCCTGATGTCCAAGTTGAACCTTCTGTTGCACAGCTTGAGGCTATTTCTTCTTGTCCTGTCTTTGGCTGCCTGGCTGATCCCCACCTGCCTGCAGCCTCCTTTCAGGCATATGTAGAGAACAATAAGGTCACCCCTGAGACTTCTTCTCTCAAGCTTAAATACCCATAGCTCCCTCAGACACTCCTCGTAGGACTTGTTCTTACTGAGCATGAACTCAACCCCCTCACCCAGACCATGGATAAAGATATTAAACAGCTGTCTGAAAAATAGACCAAAAATCCTGTATGTGTGAATAGCATGAATCCACTGGCACTATGAGAGGTAAAGGTTACCTTATCTAATCACCCACAGGGTCACTCTCTTATCTCTGGATCCTCTGTTCCCTTCTGCCACTTGCCAGTATTATAATAGAGCAGTACCACTTTGTTACCTTCAGCAGTGTATTTTTATACACTGTATAGTCTAAAATTACACAGCCTGCTACACGCCAGGAAGCCTTTAGCCTGTATGACTTACCAGCCAATTAACCAAGGTATGTTTACACCTCTGTTCCACTAGCTGCAGACAGACTCCCCATCTTGAAGACAATTATTTTCTACTGCAAATTAGATCTGCAAGTTATGCTTCTCTCCTCTAGTTGTGATTTTAATAACCATAGGCTGAAAGGGGGTAGTTTTTCATGCCTTTATGAATATAAATATCAGATACTTTAGGTATCTAATAGTATTCATACAAACAGTATCACAGACTAAAACCAAAAATATAGGACATGCATCTTTAATATTTTAATTTTTTTTCTTAATAGAATTTTGTTTTCCTTCTGCAGGCCTTAAAGTCCTCCACAAAAGTGAAGGATAAGATGCCAGGAAAACAGCTTTATAAGGTGGCAAACAGCAGTACAAGACTGGCATTCATAGGTTATGAGGTACACACTCCGTAACAACAGCCAAAGGTAGATCCATGAGCTCTAAGTCTATTGTCAGGATTTACTAAGGGTGACAGTGAAAATTCTTTTCAGCTCAGCTTCTCATGGGCGGGCAGGTGTTCAGCCATCCCCAGGAAAGCAGAGTTCCATCACATACAATGGTGACTTGGGAAGACAAAAAGCGTCACTCCAGATGTCTCCCCAGTTCCTCCTTCTTCCCTCTGCTTTATATATTACTTTTTATTACTGAGCATGGCACCATGTGTAGGGTATGGAACATCCCTTTGGTAGTTGGGGTCACCTGCCCTGGCTATGTCCCCTCACAACTGCTTGTGCACCCCCCAGCCCCTCCCTGGTGGGGAGCAGAAGAGGCTTTGACACTGTGCAAGTGCTGCTTGGCAATAATGAAACATCCCTGTGTTATCAACCCTGTTTCCAGCAAAATCCAAAACAGAGCCTCATACTGGCTACTGAGAATAAAATGAACTCTGTCCCAACTAAAACCAGGACACAACATCACCAGAACCATCCAGGTGAAAAAAACCAAAGCATGTCTATTAGCAAACAGGAAAAAAAATGAATTCACATTCAGAGAATATGTTAGGAGAAAGAAACCTCAAAGGCAGCATCACTCCAGTGTTTCCCTGGTACTGTGGGAGAAGCAGGGAGTATATGGATGAGGAAGTATCACCCCTGTTACTCCCAGCAGCAGCCCCCAGCTGTGTTCTGTCCCATCAATGCAGGAGCTCAGCTACACCAAGGCCTGAGCTGGGTATCACTGGTTTAACTCCAGCACCAGTGACTGCTGGGTCCCCTGCTCCTGTTTCAGCTCTGGAATGGCCCCACTGGGGAAGTGTGACATTCCCCCACACGTCTGAGTACCTCAGAGTGGTGAGGACTTGCTGCCACCATATCCACTCCTCAGGACTTAAAGTCAGGACTGAGATGAATACTGGAATGGCAAATATGGTAACAAAGACAATAAGTCACATTTCAGATTTTTTTATAAGAAAACAAATGTTGCATTCCTAATGATATTTTCCCTTTTAAATTTGATAATGGATGGTTACTTGGTAAAACTTATGTAGGACAATCCATAAATTCCTAGGCTGGTAAACATGAAGCATTTCCTTACTGTAAGATTTTATTCTACTAAGTATACTGGCAATTCCTGACTTTGTCGTAACTGACAGCCAGCCATATTTTGCTCAATTTTCTTCTTTTTTTTTGAATTCCAACTTCTAGGTCCCTGTCAATAACCTCAGCAACAAAGACTGGGCCAGAAAGGAACCATTCTCCAGGCTGCATAGTACAATAGATATGCTTTAGGTGAAACCAAGTTGACTGGATTTTAAGAGTAAAGTCTGAGTAGAAGGAAAGAAGGACTACCAAGGAAAACAGGCAGGAAAAACAGTTCAAACACTTCACTTGTTCTCCAGGAGATCTCTTTTCATATCATTCACAAATACAAATATTTTCCTAGTGCAATGATATATTGCATAAACTTATCTCTACCAATCCCAAAATAGCCTTTTAAATGTCTTTTTCCCTAAGTAAAATTTAAATTAATGAAGCTGAATAGTGATAAATTTCTTCATGGTGTGCATCAACAGGCATTTTAATAATTGAAAGCACTCTGCTTCTGGCTTTTCGGTCCTTGCTTCACTTGCAGTATTAACCAATAACCTAGTAATACAGCTAGGATTGGTTTAATGCTATATCAAAATATTTAATTCTGTTTAGATCTCAATTTAAAATATTTCATGGGCTCTAAGTCTGCTCAAAAATTGAAAGTAGAAAATATAGTTATGAAAACATGGTCTCTCTTTGAGAGAGAAAATCAGTTTATATATTCAACATATATGTAATCATTCTGTAATATATGTAATATGTAATATATGTAATATGGTCATCCATATTCTGTTTTTTTGAAGAATTTCTACATACTGAGAAAAAAATAGGACTTTTACAACATTATCAAAAGACATTTGCTAATAACAAATGTGTTTGTAAGATTCTGAGTAGCTAAATACCATGCTGAAGTAGTACAAATTGCAACTAAAATAAAAAACACAGTAAATATCTCACTCAGATCAGCAGAAGAGAAAACCCAACTCCACAATAAATATCAAAATGTGTTAAAATCACAGCAGACTTACACATGACTTGTGTCCACTTGCAACTTGTGAAATACACTGTGCAAAGAACCAAGCTGCCATGAGAATAATACAGCATATTATTTAGGGATAGTCCAAATTGTACACTTAGTAAGTAGCAAACAAAGTTGGTCCTGGAAATTTTTTCAGTTTTAATTATTGAGAAATTAAAGAACAGGAGGTGGCCCCCTGCTGCAGAAGCTGATCTCCCAGGAAAAGTATCCTGCAGGGCAAACCAATTATTTCACACCCAAAGTATTGGAGATAATAGTTTTGAGTGAAGAAATGTCCATATGAAGTCATAACCAAAGTCCAGGAATACAAACAGGAAGGTCATTCAAACAAATGTAATAATTTTGATCAGTCATGCTCCTGGTGCATTCAGATGCACAGCTTGCCAGAGATAGATCAATATTTGCATGAATGCTTGTACCAGTGAAAATATGGCACTTCAGCCCTTTGGGCCTGCAATATACTTTGAATTTTGGCTCAGATCTGTTCAGAGATACTAAGATGAGCCATGAGTACAGGAATGAAGTGGACACAAGCTTTTCATTAAATTCAAAATGACTAAAATGGCCTATGGGCTATCATACTTTATACTGGTGATACCTTACATGTTCCTGAACAGTGTGACCTCAATGACATTAGATTGAAGAGAAGGGTGATATTGAGGAGCTTGAATAGAGCCTAATATCAATTTGTGTATGTAGAAACTTCCTTATCAATCCCATAGCAACAAAATGACGTAAATTCAATCATACAATTAATTAAAGTGAATGGGAAATTGGGATGAGATAAAGTAAAATAAAAGGATAACTGTTGTGCTGAAAACAAGATAATATCAACAGAATTAGAAATTTCTCATGAAAGAAGGTAAAAATTAACATTTTCACTTGGATGCTACAATGGCAAGGACATTTAAATATAATTAGTTGGATGCCTATATGATCTAGAAACAATAAAATGAGAAGCTGAGAAGAAGCAAAGGGGGAAATATATGCTTAGGAACCACACACAATTTGGAGAAGACCTCTTTTTTTGTAACTGGCCAGCAAAGTTATAAAGAAGCTGCCTATTTTGTGTATTACATATAACAAGACACTCAGCCAAAGTCTGTTAGTTTCCTTTACATAATATGACAATAAATCATGTATCCTACATGTCTGGAATGTTCTGGAGCCTTTTTGCCTCTTCAGTTCTAATTACTGATGTAACAAGGACATCATTGAGAATGAGTGTTACTGAAAACATACGTAAATGCAGAGTCAATGAGGAAAATGGTATTAAAATCTCAGAGAATGTCCCTTTCAGCTCCAGCATAGCAGGCACTATTTAACACAAGATTTGTTTGCTCCCAAAGGTCAGTGAGCCAATCCTGATCACAGTCATTCTGTGCCCTCCATCCCTCCTTCTCTATCCCCCCATAAAAAGAAAAAAAACCCACCCACTGCAAGGCTAGGAAGTAACAAATACTGGTCAATTATAAGAAAAGTTCAAATTAAGTAGTTTTCTACCTGCTTGGTGTACTACCCCTGACTTTAGCCTGCTGATTCATTCAATTTTGTGAAAGGACATTCCTGAATGTCAATATGTCTCTTTAGGTTAAACTGCTGGGTGCAGTGGTGTTCATTAACTCTTAGTTCCATGCATAGAGAATCCATGCAATGAGGCTCTTTTCGTAGAACAAGTGAGAGGACAGAAACAGAACTGACCACAGACACTGACATGCTTTGTTTAGAGGCACTATGCTTAGCATGGTAAATACTGGTAATTGGCTAGGAGATTAAATGGTAAAAATGTCAGGCTTGTGAAGTTTGCTTTCCCAACTTAGTAGCAATAATGGTCTACATGGATCAGGTCCGGAGCAGAAGAGCAGTTTCCCAAACAAATGCTAGGAAACTCCCTATGCTTGTGGCATAGGCTAAAACTAAAAACTGACAATTGTTTAATATACTCTGGATCAAAACTTCATGATTAAGTTTGAAAACTGATAGCAGTCCTTCTGGGTTCAGCTGAACTATAGAAACTAATCTGACTGAACTTTTTTTTTTTTCACCTAAAAATACAGATTGTGTCAAAAGTGAAATATGTACTGGGGGGGAGGAGTTGTGGTGGGGGGAAATATACTATCAAGGAATGTTCTTCATTTCAACCAGCTGTGTAGATAAGCCTTCCCAGAACTGGACCATTTTCAGCCAGATATTACAGCTGTAGGAACAGTCCTGCCTGTCTTCACAAACTATTTCAGAGCACATTTTAAATGGTGTGCTGCAAGGTAGGATGTTGGGTTGGGATACCTCTATCCTAACCTCTGGATTAGGACATTCTAGGCATCTTCCTCTCACACTGCATTCCCTGAACTCAATTCCTATCTCACTGTCATTGTGGCAGATTTAGAATAGTTTATTCAATTTACCCCCTCTAATAGCACATGAAAAACACATTCCCAGACATGTCTTAATTCAGCATCCTCCAACAAAATTCAAGGAATGGAGTGTGAAGGGAAAACATCTGATATGTTGATCTACATTATTAGGAAATTCCAAGCTACATAGCATAAAAATGTCCTGGTAAACATTACAAGAAAATTCAGAAAAGGTCCAAGGAAAGGACCAACTGGCCTGTCCTAGATATTTGCCAATGTCAGATTCTTCTCTCTTGACAATTAACAAAGTTTCAGGTATGAGCATTGTCGAAGGATATACTGAGGTCATATTTCATACTCTCCTACTGGTGATTGCAAGGATGATTCCACCGCACGGGATTCTGTCCATCAGCAGTGATGGACACACATGATATGGAAAACTTCTTGTCAGACTATATACATGCCTTCTGTATAGGGCATGGTGGCAGGGCTGGGGAGACATGTGCTTCCCAGGCAGGTAAACTGCGTTCCACAGGGTTGGGGAGGTGACCCCAGAGTGAGGCAGCTGTAAGATGCCTGGCAGGGAGCTCACACCCAGAGGCAGACACAGACTGATAAAGGATCTAACCTGTGCTCAGGCAGATTCCTTTAAGGAATAACAGAATCCATATAACTCCTATTTGAGAAAGAAAAGCCAGTGAAAAGACTTGAACAAGAGGATTCAAGTGATATTTTACCTTTTCACCTTTCTCTCCTTTCTGGCCTGGCAAACCAGCTACTCCTGGCAATCCTGCTTCTCCCTGATTTTAAAAGAAATAAAAAAGTCAACAAAACAAATCTAAAATATATTTGGTTAGGTTTCCTGTCTTTGTCACAAATGCCTAACAAAGCAAATGACTCAATAAATATAGTGCAACACCCAGGAGAAGTATTAAAAGAAAACAAACATTATGCAGAATGTAATTCATTCTCAAGTAAAAACATTCACACTAAATATAATGCCTAAATATAATTCTCAGTTTTACCATGGTACTTTTTTGGGTGTATATTCAAACAATTAAACCTTACTGACATCTCTAACTTCACATTAACTAAATCCAAAATGTACTGTTTCTTAACTGGGAAATACAATGTAAGTACATGACAATGCTACAAACCAGTAAGATTTTTTCATGACTGCAAGTAAAAAGCTGAACTGTTTTTATATCTAGCAGGATTAAACAGCATGATGCATTAAAAAGCAACAGGAAAACGTTATACTTTATTTGGAAAGCAGTAGCATCTCTGTGCAGATTCTTGCTGCATCCCTGGAAGCATGTATATTTTGCTGGCATGAGCAGTTGCTGGTGAGGAAGTCGTAGCCAGTAACCTCTCCTCATGTGGGCACTAAAACAAAAAGATTTTCTGGTTTTTTTGTCATCTTTGGTTAATAGGTAAATACCATCCAACCACCAGTTTTAAGTTACCCCCTGTTTTAATGCTCTTATACAAACCATACATGGAAAGTGGCAACAACTTCTAAACAGAGAAAAAAGCTGTAAAAAAAATAATCCTAGATATTGAGAGCCTTCTGTTCTAAAATTGATGCCAGCTAAAACTGATGTGACTTTCCCACTTCTTTCTTCCAAAATACAGAGTAATAAAGAGGAATAAAGTCTCCCAAAATTAGAAGCAGTGAAACAGAATATGTCCATGGGGAGAAAAAAGAAAAGACAGTACTTCTCAGTCTCATCCTGTCCTCTGCCCTGGTCCTAAGTGCAAAATATAAAAGACAAGATTTACCTGTCTGTGGGTCCTGAGAACTGAGCCAACCTGAAGAAACACCCCAAACCAACAGAACTTGCTAAATTTCAGAAAATCACATTAAGATGTTGTGAGGTTTTTTTTGAACCTTCTGTCAGAGAAATTCTCACAGGATTTACTACTTAGCATAGAAATTTGTATCCAAGTATAAATTCTTTCCCTTAAATTACTGAAAAAGTAGCTGTTATAATGGGTAAGGAAGTTGTGAAAAAATAAATCAGAAAATGTAATGCTAGTTTTAATATAAAAGTCATTAACAAGTAGTCCACCATTTCTTACATCTTAAATATAATATAAATTAAACTGATGGTGCTTTTAGATACATAGATGAATGAATGTTTAAGTGTTATTAATAGAGCCTGTTGTTGAGCTTTTTTTGCTATTGCATCATAACTGCTCAATAAATTTTATTTCCAAGCATGAAATGGAATCTACAGAAATTTCATTCATTTCACTTTTTCGTAAGTTTATACATTCAAGAGAAAGTCCACATTACTATCAAGAATATATTTAGAAATAGATTTGAACTACTAATCATTGTTTAAAATCAAAATTTCCCCCTGAAATTAGATAATATTTTTTTTATGCTTCTGAGCAGCAAGTCTTCTGCTCCTCTGTTCTTGGGCAGATTTTTCTCTCCCATCCAGGTACACTTTCCCCTATCTCTTTGTGGATGTAATCAATCAGTCCTTCTATATGCTCTGGGCTCTCTTCTGCTGACTGCAACATTGGTGGTCATGGGCACTGTCCACTGTCTCAGAGGAGCCCGATCTCACAGACTACTTATGACAGCAGGCCAACAGTTTAACAAAATGTCTTTCTGAGGCTATTTGTGGTTCATTGTCTTTTTTTTAATGGGCTAGATTGAGCAAAATAATTACATCTACAACTTCAAGCTATGGTTCTACTGTCTTCCAGTTTACCCTGATTCTTGTCTTCCAAAACAGGAGGGAAAAGTGAACCCTTTAAACTAAATCAATGTTTTCCCTTATGTTAAACAATATATACACATCAGCGTGTGCCTTGTAAAGAAGAAAGTATTTAATGGGATCATCAAGGTTGGAAGAGACCTGTAGGATCAAGTCAAACCATCAATCTATCACTGTAACTTGTCAATTATGAAAGACCCAGTCCTCCATTTTACTGTATTAGAATAAAGGAAATTCTATTTTTCTTCTCTTCCACTGTCATGCAGACTCTTTCATGGGCTTTGGTTATATCATCTGTAAAGATTCACAAGACGCAACTGTTACCGAAATGGCCTCTGCTGTTTGAAACCATTCTCAAGTTATCACAGTGACTTGTTTCCTACTCTCTGAGGCTTCTTCAGTTACTAATTAGACATTAATCAATTTTAAGAAATGTATTTAAAAAGCACTAGCAGCACCTAGTGCCTTTTGCTGAAGTTCCACTGTACCATTTATTTAGTCAGCAAAAAACTATGTTTTTTGACTCCAGATATGGAACTCATTTTTAGAAGGCAATTAAACTATCACCTCTACTGAAATTTTTTTACAACTCTTTATCAAGAAACAATAAAAAAACTTCTTTTGTATTAACATTTGAATTTTAACAGATAACTTACCAAGTCTGCAGATATTTCACAACACGTATCTTCTGTTGCAAGTTGTGAATTACAATAAACCGCTATGTGGTGAAGTTCAATCTATTAAGAAATACAAATACAAAAGAAATTAATATGAGGTGTAAAAAATTATGCATTACAGCATGCTTTTTGTTATCTTGGGGTAGCAAACTTTCTCTTTGAAACACTGCATATTTTTGAAATGCTTGAAAAAGAAAAATCCAAAACAATTACACAGATCCTCATTTAAGGAGCAAATTATGCAGTCTATTACTTTGATACAAATCACATTTTAGTTTTCATTTATTTTCATGTAAGTTGTATCCATCTGTATTGGTTTGCTATATTACACAGGTACTTCAGCCTTATATACATCCTCCAAAAACCTTCTTTTCAGGAAAGTAATTTTCCTCTGCAGGAAACTAAAATAAAGGTTTGATAAACTCTATCACATACATCCATTTCTTTGGACAGACCTTTTCCTGGACATTGCCACTAAATAACCTGAAGAGAAAAAAATCACAAATTCTGTACGTGAAGCTTGTGTTTCAGAGACTTTGTGTGGATTGATGAGATGAGAAACAAGAAAAATTCTAACTAGCTATTGTTGTCCTCATATGCATCAGTTTTATATCCTCTTAATCTCCCTCTTGCACTTGGTATTGAGAAAAGTGACTGTTGGTACAGGATCTGCTCTGCTGCCTTCATCAGCTTTAAGCCGATAATGTTTTCCTGCAAATGTGGAAATTGTGACTGACAACTTCCACTCAGAATTATCCAGCTCATATCACGCAACCAGCAGAAAAAACCTGCACGCTATTTGGAAATGAGGAGACTGCACACACATTGCAAATAATGTTGAACTTAAGACTTAGAAAATAAAACAAAGCATGAGCTTGGCTCTGTGAAGTAAGAGCTCTGAGTCCAGGCCAAAGTGCTTAGTGCCCCACAAGAATGATTCTTCCTGCAATGTTAGCTTGCAGTTACAGTGTGCTGTTTTCCTCTGGAACCCTACAGCATACATAACATCACTGAAGCTTTCTGATGGTCATTATAAACTCCAAGTCAGATGCTTTAAACCTGGTAACTGCATGTCAGTGTACTTAAAACAAACTAGTATTTCCTGAAGATTTCAAATTACTTGCTGTGCTTTCAAATTACTTGCTTTGAAATTACTTTCCTCCCTGCATGAGGAAACAAAAGAGAGCATCCCTGGGACAGAAAATAGCCCAGAATATTATGGGGTTTCCTTGAGTAATGCTTGCACCAAAGGTTGCAGGAAACATACCTCTGGCCACTTCCCAATCCCTCCCTTTTGGATAAGGGAGAGACAACTATGGACAATGTGCCCCTAGTTCTACATAGCTGAATTACTCTAGAAGACCTCAATACAGAGGTAATCCTTAATTATTTTGTCTCTTGCCTTTGTCAAAGACAAAGTGTAACAGATGACTGATACAAACCTATAAATTAATCTTACTAAAAATGAAAGAAAAAAATTATAGTAATAATATATCTGTGGTAATTAGGTGTCTCTCCAAATTCAATACAGAAAAACAGACTCCTTAAACCAGGACTGAGTTTTATGCAGTTACTTTGGCAACAGCTTTGTCTTAGCAGATGCTACAGCAATGAATAATGTTTAAAGAAAAACACTTAAGGACTTCAAATTAAGAATACACACTCAAAAATAATGTCTGGGTTTGAGCATTTTATCTACATGATTCTTTACAACTGTTTTAGTAAAAGCATGGCTAAAACACTGCTTTAAGTTGTCTGTTTGTCCTTTCATACTACTCACATCTACAGGCTTATCATCCGCAGCACGAGAAGCAATCAGTGTCCTTCCCTGCAAGTCAATGGTGAATTTTTCATCAGTCTGCTTTCTCTCAATTAAATTACAATCCAAATAGAGGGAAATGATCCCTGACTGCACGCTAATACCAAGCTTATGCCACTGCCGATCAAACAATGGATAAATTTCTCGACTCTTAAAAGTGTAGTGCAGTATATTTCCCTGAGAGGATCTGGTCATATATTCCACCACCTTTTTTGTACCATCCAGGAGAATAGAGATCTGAAAGGAAGACAAAATAAAAGAAGTGGTTATTTAAAAGTTATAAGAAAGAAACACATACGCAAACCACATGTGACAAAAATATGTCAACTACATACACTGGGCAAGAATTATGTTATGAAGCATTCTTCTCTGTAACTTGGTAAATACTTATCAGCTATAAATCATAATATGAGTTTATTCTATTTCGCAGTCTAAACTGAATAAATTTTGCTAAATTTCTGTCATTCCTGCAACAAATTATCACTTATTTCAGAGCAGTCTGTCTATTCATATAAACTTTAGCTAAATCCATTAATGAAACACCCATTATTACAAGTGCCATATTACATGGGGGGAAAAAAGGAAGAAGAAACGTTTTGAAGAAATAAATTAAAGATGACTCTAACCTCAGGTGTGTCATACTGATTTAAAACTTGCCATATATACCAACGCTCCTTCTTGGTATTTCTCCGTACACGGAACGTAGCAACTAGAGAGTATTCTTCAGGAAGCCCATTTGGAAATACTTGCCTGGAAGAGGAGGGAGTAAAATGATTTCTTGTTACTCTTATACAAACAAGCACTGCTTTGAAGGAGTGAACAGAAATAATACCTGGTGAAAACAAGAAGCCAAACACTTGCTCTCACTCATGCACAGGCCCCAGCATCCAAAAGTGTTTCTTATCAAAAGTACAATTCAGTTTCTTTATAAGAATGAATGACTGAAAGTTTTATAATTAACTTTTGTTCTAAATTTTTTAGCATCTGTGATTAATATAAATAGGAGTCTAAAAAGAAATGATGCAAAGTGAATGTCCCACATGGAAATATTTTAAAATACATCTTCACCCAGTTTATTGCTTGGGATAGTTGAATAAGTTTTGTAGAGGATTTGTTGAATAACGCACATCCTAATCAAAACACCGCTGGGCAGGGCTCATAATAACCTGATCTAACTTTCAAGTTCATCCTGCTTTGAGCAGGGATTTGATCCAGTGACCTCCATGGGCAATGACTCAGACATTCTGAGCATCAGAACAGTTGGACTTTAGCAAGCTTAAAAAAAAATAAGGAATGTATTTTAGAACAAATTATTTACTGTTGTTTGACTTTGTTATTCCTTTCTTGCCTAAGATGTGTCCATGTTTCAAAAAAAATCTGACCTTTATCACAGAATGCACCAAGCTCTTTGAAAAGTTTGTATTTCACAGAAAACAAAATCTCAACTCAAATCAAAACCTCAACTCTACAGACCTTGATAACCATTAAACATACACTAATTCTGTACTAAATAAATTAGAATGGTACAATCAATTTATTTAATTTGAAGCTTCTGCATTACAAATTGTTTCTTTTCTAAGATAGAGGTGAAAAAATTAAAAACACAGATCTCTACACAACACAGGAGTAGAAAAAGTGTTCATATCACTGTTTGCAATTAGCTAGCCATGGTGGAAAAAGCATTCCCTGGATCAGAGCTCAGGAAACCTGAGGACAACCCCACGCAGCAGAAAAATTTCTTCAATTTTATTTCCCACAATCATGTGAAGTAAATGGTTTTGTTCTAAAAAACTGCTGATGGGATTACAATTATAAAGCAATGTGCTATAAAGCTTTTCTTAAAAACAAAAACAAAATAAAACAAACAACAAAGGTTGGGGCAAAGAAAGAGCAAAGCACTACAGCTGATGAAACAATAGCCCCACAACCCTCCTGGAAACTGTTGTACCTAGGATCTCAGGAAAAATGCCTCCTGTGCAAAGAAGCCTGCTCTAAATCCTGCCAAAGAGCTTCTATAAGGACTAGCACCTATTTAAGTCACTTATGTGGGAATCACACTTCTTTGGCTTATTTCCCACAGCTGATTCCTGTTTTATCCTTGGGACCAAATTGGCTGCTGTCCCATATTGTTAGTGGACCCATATGCTTTTGTACAGCTATAGATGTTGCAATGCCAAAAGGCAAGGCAAAAGAGAATAGGCTTGGCTGTACTTAGACCCAGATTTCATACTTTGTATTTCAAATATAGTATAAAGAATATGTTTTATGGTCTATAAAAAAAAATACCCTCACCAGGAATGAGTGTGTGACTGCAGAACAATAAACTATCTGGATATGGGATCAGCCCTATGATTTCCTGCACCCCAGGCAGGCTAAGGAGATGGTATCTCAGGTTTACAGCTGTAAGCTAGACAGGATATCTGGCTGTGGGAGCATCTGATTAGCTCTCCAAAATCAATTCACTTTCCCAGCTAAGTTCCATATTGGGGACACTGGGGAATTCACATTAATGGACAAAGGACAGACAACTGTGGAAGAGAAATGTTCAGAAGTCTTCCTCAAATGAAGGGAGGGGAAACCATGACTGGTACTGTAGGTCTGGAAGACAAACAGAAGCAGTCCTTGGACAAAGTGGCACTATTTTCTACACACCCACACCCATCCACCACTGCTTTTTACTCTATAACTTCCTAACACTTTCACAGCCAGATAGATGCAGGACAGGAATAAGTCTTCTAAAATTGTGTTTCTTTCAGAATTTTCTCAAATAAGTTTGGTTGTATGAGTACATGTGATATAAATTTACCTTCCCTAACTGTTAACCAAACCATTCAGGAATTAAAAGAAAATGTAAGGTATAGGCCAGTGTTACAAAAACCATCAGGAATTCACACTAACTTCCTTTTGAGCTGACAAAGAAAACTGTATTGAGAGAAATGAGAAAAGCAGACAAGATCAAATTAATTCCTAAGGACATTACCAATTTCAGTGGAGTCAAGTAAAGAGGGAAGATGTAAGCAGAATCAGACCAAGGATAAATCCACTTAGATTCACGAAATATCTTTGGTAGGAAGGTACTTCTGGAGGTCAATGGATTTTACCCTGGGTTTAAAGTAGGGACAACCTGAAAATATGTCAGGTTACTCTTAGTTCTGTTGTGCTGAGTTTTGGAAGTATCTAGAATGGAAATTATTCCACAACTCTTTGGGAAATCTGTTCCAGTACCTGACCAACAAACAGCACAAATTTAATACACGACTACCATATACCAGAGATATAACTTAACACAATTAAGAAGCAGTATATTTATTTTGAGAAGAGCTAACATTGGTACCTATATGAAGATTCCTTGGTGACCAAAAAATCATTAAAAGATGCTTTAAAGTATACAGTTCAGTCAACACTTCTAGCTAGATGGTGAACATGAAAAGGAACAAAATAATGGGATGAAATACCCAGAAAACCAGCAGGCTATCTGCTACCATACACAATTTCCCCTATGCTCTTGCTCTCTGAATGGCTTCAAGTGACTGTAATAGAATTAAAAAGAATGCATTGAGCATGAAGTGATTTAGGCACAGATGATTAGTAAGATACTTCAGTGATATTTAAGTATTATTAGCATGGTATTTTCCACTCTGTAAAATCAGTTTAAAAAGCCTCAAAAAAAGAGAAACTATGTACACATTTTCAACAATAAATATATAATGATATTTTATGAGAAAAATAAAAGAACAAACAGAAAAATTAACATAAAACCTCATGTTGGAACATGAGAAAAGTCAAACCAATATTACACTAAATATTTGAAATATAACACGGAATTTGAAATTCTGAACTCCTTTGAATGTTTACTATACTGTTTCACCTGATCACATCTACAAACATTTAAAACCTGACAAAACTTATGAGGTATTATGTACAGGGTGAAAACAATAAAGGAACAGTATTGAACATTAATAAAAAATTCACAAGAAAGTTGTTCCACACGTCCACAACCCAGAAATTATTCCAACACAGAATATTTAACCTTTCCACACAGCACAGCATAAAAACAGTAAGAAAAGGAGAGACAAAAAGAGTGAAGGAAACCTACACCAAGCTCATCTCAAAGTCTGTACAGATGTACATACGGCACAAGCAGAGAACTTAGGGTAGTAAATCATGGTGTCTGTACCAAAAGCAGTAATAGAGATGACAGGTTTTTAGCAAGTTATAATGTTACAGAAATATGGGTAGCAACTGGTAAGTGTGAAAATTTATCTAGAAAGACAAGACAAAAGAACTCAAAAATTAACACAAACAAGCAGATGAGAGTATCCTTATCTCTCAAACAGATGCCTTTTTGGACAAGAGTCTGAACAAAATACATCATCAGACTAGGGAGCAAAAAATCTGAGGTCTTCATGAAAGGAAAATATCCTTTTCAGTGTAACAACAGTTAAGTTCTCCCCTTCTCGTTTAATTTCCTTATCAAACCAGACATCCTTCCCAGATGATTGCTCAGATCTTTAAGGGTATTAAAAAGGTGGTCTCTTCCTCTCCTACACTCAAAACACTCATGACTGCTGTGGTTTGTGTTGACTCCAATGCTGTCTAAGCTTACTATGTGTGACTGAAGCACAGTCAATGGCTTAGGCACCTCTAGGGACGTGGGCAACGTTCTGGCATCTCTACACACATCTTTGAGTCACAATGAAACCTGGGTGGGAGTTACATGCCTGTCTGCTTAAGCCATGGTGCTTCTAAGCATGCCTGGAATTTATGCCCAGACGCTGGGGGAAATTAGTTGTCCAAAATTATTCATTTTACGTGCCACTAGGGGTTGGGTGGTGCTTGAGAGTGGGCAACTTGAATTATTCTCGGAGTCAGGCGCCCAGAGTCCGATTAAATTGTACTTTAGGTGGAATTTCAACATTCTGATTCTCTCCCTCTGTCCATATTGTCAGTAGTATATAATAAAAAAAAAAAGTTGATGAATGGAGCACTGTGTTAAAGTAAAGCACACCCTTGGTGGAAACGACTGAAAACAATAGCAGGAATTGAAGCACATGTATTGAATACAGAAGTTTGAATTTATACCACCCTAATCTGCTGGACTGAGACGTACTGCAAACTAGAGAGGCCTCAGCTGGAAAATTGAGGAGACTATCCACAGCCAGAAGGAAGATTCCCAGCAATACAAGGTCTTAGATTATACATAGATATGTTACAAATCAATACATTCAGGTATTTCATAACATTTCACTGGCTGAAACATGAAGCAGATGCAGCCAGAACGGTAACAAACACACATGTTTTTGCAACAACTGTCCACCACTCTATCAAAGCATATGTGTACACAGAGTTGCAAAGGCTTTTGCCATAGTTTTTTTCCTAAAAAACAGGTGTATAATATGAATGTACATTATGGAGTTACCAGAAGAGCATTTACAAGAATGCTGCATGAACTTTAACACTGTATTTACACATACCTTCCACGGTTTATAAAGATTAAGTATAGAATGATTTTTGGCAAAACATTTTCTTTATTAATTTCATTTTTTTCCTCAAAGGTTCTGAAATGCAGATACCAGCTGGAACTACTAGGGCTAGCAGACTAAAAGAAGTAATTATGAATGAATTAACTGTGTATATGTAACTGTGCTATAAACAGTTTTAGTTCTATCTTTGTAAAGCAGCATTGAGTTACCCATATCAAATTTAGTAAGGCAATCCTTTATTTACCTTTTGTTTTTATTTTTAAAAAA